CCCCAGTGTCCCTGCGTGTCCCCCCAGTGTCCCCTGGTGTCCCCCAGTGTCCCTCATGCCTCTCTGTGTCCCCTGATGTCCCCAACATCTTCACCGCGCGTCTCTGCCATTGGCGTACCTTCACCGCCAACCCCAAAACTCCCCAAAACTCCCCAAAACCGCCCCAAAGCGCCCCCAGGCCCCCTCCCCCGGTGTCCCCGCGTGTCCCCCTGGTGTCCCCCAGTGTCCCCTGATGTCCTTCAGTGTCCCTCATGCCTCTCTGTGTCCCCTGATGTCCCCAACATCTTCACCGCGCGTCTCTACTGTTGGTGTACCTTCACCGCCAACCCCAAAACTCCCCAAAACCGCCCCCAGGTCCCCTCCCCCAGTGTCCCCGGTGTCCCCTGATGTCCTTCAGTGTCCCTCGTGCCTCTCTGTGTCCCCTGATGTCCCCAACAACTTCACCACGTGTGTCTCTACCATTGGCGTACCTTGACCGCCAACCCCAAAACTCCCCAAAACCGCCCCAAAACTCCCCAAACCCGCCCCAAACCGCCCCCAGGTCCCCTCCCCCAGTGTCTCTGCGTGTCCCCCTGGTGTCCCCCTGATGTCCTTCAGTGTCCCTCATGCCTCTCTGTGTCCCCTGATGTCCCCAACATCTTCACCGTGCGTGTTTCTACCATTGGCGTACCTTGACTGCCAACCCCAAAACTCCCCAAAACCGCCCCAAACCACCCCAAACCCGCCCCAAAGCGCCCCCAGGCCCCGTCCCGCGGTGTCCCCGGTGTCCCCTGATGTCCTTCAGTGTCCCTCCTGCCTCTCTGTGTCCCCTGATGTCCCCAACATCTTCACCACGTGTGTCTCTACCATTGGCGTACCTTGACCGCCAACCCCAAAACTCCCCAAAACCGCCCCAAAACTCCCCAAAACCGCCCCAAACCCGCCCCAAAGCACCCCCAGGCCCCCTCCCGCGGTGTCCCCGGTGTCCCCGGTGTCCCCGGTGTCCCCCGCTCACCGCGCGTGTTGTTGCTGTTGGTGTAGGTGAAGATGCTGTCGCGCGTGGTGTCCTCGTCGTCGTGTCGCCGTCGCGCGGCGAAAACCGCCCCGTCCCAAACGCCCGTGGCCATCGTGTCCCCGAGTGCCACCAGCGCCACTGCCCCGGCCGCCCGCGCCCCCCTGCTCTTATACCGCCCCCCGCCCCCGGATTAGCCCCGACCCCCCCAAATCCCTTAATTGGGGCGGCGGGTGGGGGGGACGCCCCGGGCTCACCTGAGCAGCCGGGGTGAGCTGATGGGATTGACGCCAGCGCTAATCCCCCGCTGCTTCCTGGGCCCTGCCCCCCCCGGGGTCCCCACTGCCCCCCCGGGACCCCCCCGGCCACAGCGGGACCCCCGGGATGGAGATCGGGACCCCCGGAAACCCCCGGGACCCCCGGAAACCCCCGGGACCCCCAAAACGCGGTGTTCGCACAGACGGCCCCGAGGTTCTCGGGATAATTTCCACTCCCCCCCCAAATCCAAATTGGGCCCCACGGGACCCCCAGAGACCCCCAAAGACCCCCAGAATGGAAACCAGAACCCCCAGAGACCCTCAGAGACCCCCAGAATGGAAATCGGGACCCCCAGAGACCCCCGGGACCCCCGGGATGGAAATTGAGACCCCCAGAGACCCCCAAACACCCCCAGAATTGAAACCAGAACCCCCAGAGACCCCCAGAATGGAAATCAGAACAACCAGAGACCCCCGGGATGGAAATCGGGACCCCCAGAGACCCCCAGAGACCCCCGGGATGGAAATCGGGACCCCCAGTGACCCCCGGGACCCCCAAACCCCAGCGCCAATTCCCCTCCCCCAGTTCCTGACTGGGCCCCCCGGGACCCAAATTGGCTTCCCCAGGACCCCCAACTGTGGGGCTGAGCCCCCCAGGACCAGCGCTGCCCCCCCCGGGATGTGCCACAGCCCCACATTGGGGTCCTGCCCCATAGCGGGGACCTGAACCCCCCTTCTTTCCCCACATCGGGGGTCCTGGCCCCCCACCCCACAAAATTGTGGGTCCCCCCAGCCCCCTCCTGACCCACACTGGGAGGTCCTGACCCACATTGAGGGGTCCTAAAGCCCCCCTGCCCCATATCTGGGTCCCGACCCCCCCTCCCACCCCATAGTGGGGTCCTGAGCCCCTCCCGCCCCACATCGGGGTCCTGCCCCACATCGGGGGGTCGGGGCCCCCTCCTGACCCACATCAGGGTCTTGACCCCCCTCCCACCCCATAGCGGGGTCCTGAGCCCCTCCCACCCCACATTTTGGGGTCCTGCCCCACACCGAGGACCCCCGGCCCGCTCCCGCCCCACATTTTGGGGTCCTGCCCCACACCGGGGGCTCGGGGCCCGTTCCTGACCCACATTTTGGGGTCGGACCCCCCCTCTGCCCCCCAAATCGGGGTCACGGGGCCGCGTTACATCACGGGGGGCTCCGGCTCGGGGCCAAGTGGGGCACGGGGGGAGCCCCACCCCCCCCGCCCCCCAAAAATAGCCACAGCCCTAATTAGCAATTAACTCGGGGGGGGGGGCGGATTAACGAGGGTGGGGGGCTCAATTTGGGGTCCTGGGGTGTCCCCCCCCATCCCCTTCTGCACCCACGGGGGGTCCCGGGGGTCCCGGGGGTTGGGGGGCGCTCCCGGGGGGGTCACCCCAGAGGGGCCCCCCAGGCCTGACCCCAATCCCGCCCCGGGGGGGCCGGAGCCGCCCCCCCCCCTAATCCCGGATTTTCGGGTCGCCCCGGGGGAGTCCGATTAGGGGGGACACGGAAACTTTAATCCCCCCCCGGGGAAAAGGGGGCGCGGAGCGGCGGCGAGAGGAGCTCGGGGGGTCCTGGGGGGAGCTGGGGCGGGTTTGGGGGTCTGGGGGCTTCGGGGGCTTTGGGGGGGGGCGGGGATGGTTTTGGGGCGGTTCTGAGGGGTTTAGGAGCGGTTCTGGAAGGGTTTGGGGGTATTTCTGAGGGGTTTTGGGGCAGTTCTGAGGGGGTCTGGGGGGATTCGGGGGTGTCTGGGGGGGCTCTGAGGGGCTCTAAGGGGGTCTGGGTGTTCTCGGGGGGCTCTGGGGGTGGTTCTGAGGGGTTTTGGGGCAGTTCTGAGGGGTTTTGGGGCAATTCTGAGAGGTTTTGGGGCAATTCTGAGGGGTTTTGGGGCGATTCTGAGGGGTTTTGGGGCAGTTCTGAGGGGTTCTGAGAGGGTCTGGGCGGGTTCGGGGGTGTCTGGGGGGGCTCTGAGGGGCTCTAGGGGGGTCTGGGGGTTCTGGGGGCGGTTCTGAGAGGCTTTGGGGCATTTCTGAGGGGTTTTGGGGCAGCTCTGAAGGATTTTGGGTCATTCTGAGGGGTTTTGGGGCATTTCTGAGGGGTTTTGGGGCATTTCTGAGGGGTTTTGGGGCAGCTCTGAAGGATTTTGGGGCAGTTCTGAAGGATTTTGGGTCATTCTGAGGGGTTTTGGGGCAGTTCTGAAGGATTTTGGGTCATTCTGAGGGGTTTTGGGGCAGTTCTGAACGATTTTGGGTCATTCTGAGGGGTTTTCAGGCAGTTCTGAAGGATTTTGGGTCATTCTGAGGGGTTTTGGGTCATTCTGAGGGGTTTTGGGGCAGTTCTGAGGGGTTTTGGGGCAGTTCTGAACGATTTTGGGTCATTCTGAGGGGTTTTCAGGCAGTTCTGGGGGGTTTTGGGGCCATTCCAGGGGTCCCTGGGGGGGCTTTGGGGGCTCCGGGGGGGTCTCTGAGGGGTCCCGTGGGTTGGGGGTGGGGGGAATTGGGTTGGGGAGCGGCCGGACCCCCCAAATTGGGGGGCAAAGGGGGCGGTCGGTGCCCCCCACCCCCCATCTCCCCCCATCTCCCCCCATCTCCCCCCATCCCGGGGGGCGGCCGGTAAGTGCTGGGGGGGCGTGGGGGGGGAGGGGGTTCTGGGGGGCTCTGTGGGGCACCAGGAGCGGCTGTGGGGCCACCGGTGGGTGCTGTGGGTCACTGGGGGGCTGCTCTGGGGCCACCACGAGTCACTGTGGGGCCACAAAAGGACTCCATGGGTGCCGCGTGTCCCCTATGGGGAGCCCCTATGGGGAGCCCCTATGGGGTGTCCCCTATGGGGTGCCCCTATGGGGAGCCCCTATGGGGTGTCCCTATGGGGTGTCCCCCCCGTGTCCCCCCGGGCCGTGCGGTCGGAATTCCGCTAGTTCTGAACTTTTTCCTGGAAAAAAGCTCACTACTGGCAGAACTCGGCCGCGCGCCCCACTGCGGGGGCACCCGGGGGGCACCCGGGGGCATCGGGGGGCACTTGTGGGGTGCTTGTGGGGCTGGAGGCACTGCGGGGTTACTCGGGGTTACTGCAGGGACACTTGTGGGGCACTTTGAGGGGTCCTTGTGGGGCACTTGTGGGGCTGGGGGCACTGTGAAGACACTTGTGGGGCACTTGGGGTGGTACCTGTGGGTCTGGGGGCACTTGTGGGGCACTTGTGGGGTACTTGTGGGGTGCCCCCCAAAGCAGAGGCAGCGGCTGCGTCTCCAGTGTTTAATGGGGGGAGGGGGTTATGTACAACGGAGCCGTGGGGCTGCCCCATAGCAGCGGGGCAGAGCTGCTGTGGGGCTGAGAGTGGTGTGGGGCAGAGCTGCCATGGGGCAGAGCCACTATAGGGTAAAGCCCGATATGGGGCAGAGCCTTCCATAGGGCAGAACTGTGAGACTGAGCTCGATATAGGGCTGAGCCCAGTGTGGGGCAGAGCTCGATGTGGGGCAGAGCCCCATATAGGGCTGAACCCGGTATGGGGCAGGGCCCGATGTGGGGCCAAACCTGATATGGGGCAGGGCCCGATGTGGGGCAGAGCCCGATATAGGGCCAAGCCCACTGTAGGGCAGCCCTGGCTGGGTCGGGCCCGCTGTGGGGCCGCCCCACGGTGGGGCAGAGCCGTGATGGGGCCGCCCCAGTGGGGCAGAGCCGTGGGGCAGCCCCAGTGGGGCAGAGCCGTGGGGCAGCCCCGCCGTGGGGCAGAGCCGTGGGGCAGCGCTGTGGGGCCGCCCTACGCCGGGGACACCTGGCTGGAGGACACCGAGGACACCTGCGTGGCCTGGGAGGAGCCGGACACGTCGTCCTCGTCCCCGAAGGGGCTCCGGCCGCAGAACACGAGCTTGAGCATGCAGGAGCGGAACTGTGGGGCGACCCACAGCTGGGACCCACAGCGGGACCCACAGCGGGACCCACAGCTGGGGGCGGGACCCACAGCGGGACCCACAGCGGGACCCACAGCTACAGCCCCAGACCCACAGCAGCAGCCCTGACCCGCAGAGAGACCCCCAACCCACAGCGGGACCCATAGGAACAGCCCCAGACCCACAGAGGGACTCCCTGACCCACAGCGGGACCCATAGGAACAGCCCCAGACCCACAGTGGGACCCCCGACCCACAGCAGGACCCACAGGAACAGCCCCAGACCCACAGAGGGACCCCCGAGTCGCAGCAACAGCTCCATCCCCCCACTGCCCCCAGTGTCCCCACCACCCCCATCACCCCAACTGTCCCCATCATCCCCACTGTCCCCGTGTCCCTGTGTCCCCATATTCCCATATCCCCACATCTCTATTGTCCCCACGTCCATGTCCCCACGTCCCCCACGTCCCCCACGTCCCCCACGTCCCCATGTCCCCACATCCCCGTGTCCCTGTGTCCCTAAGTCCCCAAATTCCCATATCCCCGTGTCCACATATCCCCATGTCCCCATATCTCCATATCTCTGTGTCTCCATGTCCCCACATCCCCACATCCCCATGTCCCCCACATCCCCGTGTCCCCACATCCCCGTGTCCCCATATCTCCGTGTCCCCATATCCCCATGTCCCCATATCCCCACGTCCCTGTGTCCCCATATCCCCCTGTCCCCACATCCCCATGTCCCCATATCTCCATATCCCCATATCCCCATGTCCCCACATCCCCATGTCCCCATATGTCCATATCTCTGTGTCCCCGTATCCCCACGTCCCCGTGTCCCCACATTCCCGTGTCCCCACCTCCCCACACCCCCACATCCCCACGTCCCCCTGTCCCCGTGTCCCCGCGTCCCCCCGTCCCCACCTGCTTGTTCATGAAGACGTAGATGATGGGGTTGTAGACGGTGGAGGCCTTGGAGAAGACGGAGGGGATGGAGGCCAGCCCCAGGTCGAAGGGGTGGCCCCGGTGCGTCACCACCCAGAGCGCGAAGCTGCAGTAGGGCAGCCAGCACACCAGGAAGCCCAACACCATCACCACCACCATCTTGGTCACCTCCCGCTCCGCCTTCTGCGTGCTGGCCGACTGCTCCTGCTGCTTGGCCACCTGTGGGGCAGCGGGGCAGATAGGGGACGGGGTGGGTCAGATAGAGGGGACGGTGTGGGTCAGATATAGGGGACGGTGTGGGGCAGGTATGGGGCAGATAGAGGGGACGGGGTGGGTCAGGTATAGGGGATGGTGTGGGTCAGGTATGGGGGATGGTGTGGGGCAGGTATGGGGCAGATAGAGGGGTCAGGTATGGGGCAGATAGAGGGGGTGGTGTGGGGCAGACATAGGGGATGGTGTGGGGCAGATAGAGGGGACGGGGTGGGTCAGGTATGGGGCAGATATAGGGGATGGTGTGGGGCAGATATAGGGGACGGTGTGGGTCAGGTATGGGGCAGATAGAGGGGATGGTGTGGGGCAAGTATAGGGGACGGTGTGGGGCAGATATGGGGCAGATATAGGGGATGGTGTGGGGTCAGGTATGGGGCAGATAGAGGGGATGGTGTGGGGTCAGATATGGGTAAGATATAGGGGATGGTGTGGGTCAGATGTGGGGTCAGACATAGGGTAGATATGGAGTCAGATGTGGGGTCAGATACAGGGGACAGTGTGGGGTCGGAGATGGGAGAATATGGAGTCAGATATCGGGTCAGATGTGGGTCAGAGATTGGGGGGATCTGGGTCAGAAATAGGGTCAGATACGGGGTCAGATGTGGGGGTGGCAATGGGGTGATACGGGGGACACTTATGGGGTCAGACGTGGGGTGTCCCCCACTGGGGTCAGTTATGGGGTCAGACGTGGAGTGTCCCACACTGGGGTCACTTATGGGGTCAGACGTGGGGTGTCCCCCACTGGGGTCAGTTATGGGGTCAGACGTGGGGTGTCCCCCACTGGGGTCAGTTATGGGGTCAGACGTGGGGTGTCCCCCACTGGGGTCAGTTATGGGGTCAGACGTGGGGTGTCCCACACTGGGGTCACTTATGGGGTCAGATCCGGGGCACTCAGCCACGCCAGTGACCCACGGGGGTCTCGAACACGGGGAGGGGTCTCAGACCCCCAGCACTGACCCCCACTGCCCTCCCCCCGTTTTGGGGTCCCCCCAAGGACCACCCACCCCACGGCACCCCCATTCCCCTGTGCCCCCAATAAACCGTGTACCCCAATAAACCGTGTGACCCCCGAGCCCCCCAGGACCCCCTCCGACCTCTGGGACCCCCCAGAACCCCCCAAGACCCCCCAAACCCCCCCGGGACCCCCCAAAATGCCCTCACCGCGCGCAGGGTGAGCAGCAGGAGACGATCGCGGTGGGGAACCTGCGCTCCCCTGATCCCCCCGAGCCCTCAGGACCCCCCGAGACCCCCCAAAACCCCCCCGGGACCCCCCAAAACCCCCCCGGGACCCCCAAAATGCCCTCACCGCGCGCAGGGTGAGCAGCAGCCGCCCGTAGGAGAAGACGATGACGGTCAGGGGGAAGCCGAAGCAGAAGCAGAAGAGGAAAATCACGTAGGACTCGTTGTTCCATTTGTTGTCCGTCGTGTACCAGTCCGGCCCGCAGGAGCACTGCAGCCCCTCGGGGATGTACCTGGGGAGGGGGGTCACACCTCAGCGGGACCCCCAAACCGAACCACCCCCGGGACCCCCGAACCGCCCCCGGGACCCCCGATCCAACAAATCCCCGAAAATTCCCGGGACCCCCGAGCCCGGGAGCTCCTCAGCGGTTCGGGGGTGGAGCTGGAGAGGGGGGCACGGGGGGTGGGCACTGCCCACGGGACCCCCGAACCGCCCCCGGGACCCCCACCCGCCCCCGGGACCCCCGACCCGCCCCCGGGACCCCCGAACCGCCCCCGGGATCCCCAAACCGCCCCCGGGATCCCCAAATCCCCGACAATTCCGGACACTCCCAACCCGCGGGGATGGGTCTGGGGGCGAGGATGGGGGCGGGGGGTCGCACGGCTGAGGGACCCCCAAACCCCCTCCCCTGGGGACCCCCGGGTCCCCCCCCCCCGGGCTCCCCGATCTGCCTCTGGACCCTAAAAACCTCTCGGGACCCCCAAAACCCTCCAGGATCCTCAACCCCCCGACCCCATCCGAGACCCTCCCCCAACCTCCTTTGAAGGCTCAACCCCCCCGGGACCCCCAACCCCCCTGCGACCCCTGACCCCAGGGACCCCCCTGACCCTCCTGGGACCCCCCTGACCCTCCTGAGACCCCCCAACCTTCCCCAGATCCCCAACTCCAGGGACCCCCAGCTCTCATTGGAAGCCCAAACCTTGGGGACCCCGTGACACCTCCGGGACCCCCAAACCCCCCGGGACCCCCAGACCCCCCGGGACCCCCAGACCCCCCCAGACCTGCTCCAGCCGAAGAGGGGGGGCAGGGAGGCGATGAGGCCGAAGATCCAGGTGATGGCACAGCCCAGCACCGCGTGGCTGCCCCGGAAGGTGAAGTTGCCCAGGGGCTTGCAGATGACCAGGAACCGCTCGAAGGCCACCACGGCCAGCGACCACAGGGACACCATCCCTGGGGACAGGGGACACTGGTGACATCCCTGTCACCATGGTCACCACGGCCACCATGGCCACCACGGCCAGCGACCACAGGGACACCATCCCTGGGGACAAGGGACACTGGTGACATCCCTGTCACCATGGCCACCACGGCCAGTGACCACAGGGACACCATCCCTGGGGACAGGGGACACTGGTGACATCCCTGTCACCATGGCCATGGCCACCATGGCCAGTGACCACGGGGACACTGCCCTGTGCCAATGCCATGGTGTCCACCCGTCCCCATTGTCCCTGGTCCCTGGTGTCCCCATGCCCCGTGTCCTCGTGTCCCCCTGTCCCTCTGCCCGGTGTCCCCACAGCTGCTCCTCAGCCAGCTGTCCCCATGGTGTCCTCAGTGACCCCAGGGACCTTCTGCCCCACACCCAATGCCACCAGACCCAATGTCCCCAGACCACAGTGACCTTGTGCCCTACACACCCAATGTCCCACACCCAACACCCCCAGACTGGTGACCTTGTGCCCCATGTCCCACACCCCCAGTGTCCCCAGACCCAATGCCCCCAAACCCAACACCCCCAGACCACGGTGACCTTCTACCTTCATGTCCAACACCCCCAGACTCAATGTCCCCAGACCACAATGACCTCGTAGCCCATGTCCTTAACCCCAATATCCTCAACCCCCAACATCTCCAAACCCAACGCCCCCAACCCCAACACTCCAAGACCATGGTGACCTTCTGCCCCATGTCCCACACCCCCAACCACCCCTAACCCCAATATCCCCAGACCACGGTGACCTTCTACCCCACACCCTCATGTCCAACACCTCCAAACCCAACACCCCCAACCCCAACACCCCCAGACCACAGTGACCTCGTAGCCCATGTCCTCAACCCCAATATCTCCAAACCCAACATCTCCAACTCCAACACCCCCAGACCCAACACCCCCAGACCACAGTGACCTCGTAGCCCATGTCCCACACCCCCAACCACCCCTAACCCCAATACCCCCAGACCACGGTGACCTTCTACCCCACACCCTCATGTCCAACACCTCCAAACCCAACACCCCCAACCCAAAGACCCCCAGGCCACGGTGACCTCGTAGCCCATGTCCTCAACCCCAATATCTCCAAACCCAACATCTCCAAACCCAACGCCCCCAAACCAAACATCACCAGACCATGGTGACCTTTTACCTTCATGTCCAATGCCCCCAACCCCAACACCCCCAGACCACAGTGACCTCGTAGCCCATGTCCCACACCCCCAACCACCCCCAACCCCAACACCGTCAGACCACGGTGACCTTCTACCTTCATGTCCAATGCCCCCAACCCCAACACCCCCAGACCACGATGACCTCGTAGCCCACATCCCACACCCCCAACCACCCCAAGCCCACCACCCCACCGTTGCCCGTCCCTCACCGCCCAGCGTGGCGGTGAACCCTTCGATCTTGCAGGCCAGCGGCCCCAGGGCGAAATACATCTGGGAGAAGCTGTAGAAGGCCGTGGTGGAGCCCACGCACACCACCAGCAGGTTGGCCACCGCCAGGTTGACCAGGATGTAGTTGAGGTGCGACCTCAGCTTCTTGTACTTGGCGGTGCAGAGCACGGTCAGCGCGTTGATGGGGACGCCGAGCAGCACCAGCAGGAACATGAAGGCCGCCATGGCCTTGAAGATGCCGGGGCTGCCCAGGTGGGTTTGGGGCACCAGGAAGGGGCTCAGCGCCGTCAGGTTTGGGGTCTCCAGGGTCATGGGGATGTAGAAATCCTCGGGGAGCTCGTCCCGCATCTCCCGGGGCTTCGGCATGGCGGCGGGGACGGCGACGCCGCGGTCGGACGGGCGGGTGGGGGGCGACGGGAGGATCCTTTATAGGGCGGGGGGCGGATGGGACCCCCCCCATAATCGGGGCTCAGGAGGCAAAGCGCGGCTGAGCCCGGCTCATCCCGGGGCCGGCGCTGGCCAAGCCGGGCTTAGGCACTCCGCAAGCGGCTTTCGGGGGGTCTTAATCACCCCCGAGCCCTGATTAGCGGGGTTGGGGTGGGGGATCAGGGGGTATCAGGCCCCCCCCACCCTAAAAAGGGCTTAATTGGGTGCTGGTGTGATGGGGAGGGGGTGGGGGGGTCCTGAAATACCCCCGGGTGCTGCGGGGGTTCGGGGTTTGGGGGTGCTGAGGAGCCAAACGGGAGCCCGGGAGGTGCCTGGGAGCCCAAATTTGGCTCCAAAAGGTCCCTGGGGTCCCAAATTGGACCCCAAACGCTCTTTAGGATCCCAAACTGGACCCCAAAAATCCCTGGCACCACTCTGTGCCACCAAACTCCACCCAAAAGCTCTTTGGGACTCCAAATGCGTCCCCAAAAGCTTTTTGGGACCCCAAATTGCACCCCAAAACCTCCCTGGTTTGCCAAAATTTTACTGGGACGACCCGTGCCCAACAATCGAACCCCAAAGCACTTCCCAGGACCCCAAATTTGAACCCCAAACCTTCCCGACCCCCCTTGCCTGCACCCCAAAACTTCTCCTGATTCCCCCATACCCCAAAACACCCCAGACTCTCCCCCCTGTACCCCCAAACCCCTCTGGAACCCCCAAATTCCCCCCCCCGGATTTTGGGGTCCCGCTGCCCCCCCCCCCGGTGCCACTGCAGGGTTTTGGCAACATCGGGGGGGGGGTCCTGGGGGACATTTGGGGGGTCCCGGGTGACATTTGGGAGGTCCCGGGGAATTTTGGAGGGTCTCAGGGGACGTTTGGGGGGTTCCAGGGGATTTTGGGCTGTCCCGGCTGACATTTGGGGGGTCCCGGGTGACATTTGGGGGGTCCTTGCCCTCCCCCTCCCCCCCCAGGAGGGACTACATGTCCCAGGGTCCCTCTGGGGACCCCCCCCCAGGTGTCCCCCTAATCCCGGGGGGGTCGCGGGTGTCCGGGATTAGGGACAATCCCCCCGGAGGTGGCCCCGATCCGGGGGGAGGAGGGGGAGGGGGCGGGGGCGGGGGTGGGACCCCCCGAAACGGGGAGGGGGGTGGGAAAAGGGGGGGAAGGGGAGAGGAACCCATGGACTGGGGGGGATTTGGGGGTCCAGGGGGGTTTGGGGGTGTCCAGAGGGGTTTTGGGAGGGGGTCCCATATTGGGGAGGGGGTCGGGGAGGTTGGGGGTGGTCCGGGGGGGGGGTCGGGAGGGGTCGGGGGTGGGGGAGGGGGGATTAGAGCTCCATCCCCGCTCATCCCCGCCCGGGCTGGGGGGGGTGGGGGTCCGGCCCCCGCCCCTCCCCCACCCCGCTCCGGACTGGGGGCACCGTGAGCAAACTGGTGGCCACAGTGGCCGTACTGGTGGGCACTGGGCTCGGACTGGTGGCCGTCATTGCCATACTGGTTTTACTCGCGGCTGCAGTGCCCGTACTGGTCCCATACTGGTCCTGTACTGGTGGCTGAGGTGCCCATACTGGTGCCATACTGGTGGCACTGGTGCCTCTACTGGTCTCGTACTCGTCCCAGTTGTCCCCATACTGGTCCTGCACTGGTGTCCGTGGTGCCCCTACTGGTCCAGTACTGGTGGCCACGATCTCCATACTGGTCCTGATGTCCCTATACTGGCCCCAGTTGTCCCACACTGGTCCCAGTTATCCCCACACTGGTCCCAGTTGCCCTGTACTGGTCCCTGTTATCTCCGTACTGGTCCCAGTTGCCCTGCACTGGTCCCTGCTCTCCCCATACTGGTCCCAGTTATCTCCATACTTGTCCCAGTTGTCTCCCTACTGGTCCCCGTTCTCCCCGTACTGGTCCCAGTTCTCCCGTACTGGTCCCAGTTCTCCCGTACTGGTCCCGTTCTCCCCGTACTGGTCCCGCTGTCCCCGTACTGGTCCCAGTTCTCCCCGTACTGGTCCCCGCTCTCCCCGTACTGGTCCCAGTTTCTCCCCGTACTGGTCCCCGCTCTCCCCGTACTGGTCCCAGTTTCTCCCCGTACTGGTCCCAGTTCTCCCCGTACTGGTCCCAGTTCTCCCGTACTGGTCCCAGTGATTCCCGTACTGGTCCCGCTCTCCCCGTACTGGTCCCGCTCTCCCTGTACTGGTCCCAGTTCTCCCGTACTGGTCCCGCTCTCCCCGTACTGGTCCCAGTTCTCCCCGTACTGGTCCCAGTTCTCCCGTACTGGGGCAGCGGGACCCGGGGCGGGCGGGGCGTGGCCAGGGGAGGGCGTGGCTCTGGGGGCGTGGCCAGGGGAGGGCGTGGCTCTGGGGGCGTGGCCAGGAGAGGGCGTGGCGCTGGGGGCGTGGCCTCGCGGACCGTTACGGCCGTTGGATTTCAAACCCTTCGCAGCGCGGGGGGGCCCAGGCCACGCCTCCGCCGCCGTGTCTTGACCGACGTCCCGTACAGCCAATCAGCGTTCGGCGTCCCGGCGCGGGGCCCAATGAGCGGCCGCGCGCGCTCCGCCGACCCCGCCCCCCGTAACTGACAGCGCTTCCCGCCAATTCCAACGGCCCGGCGCGAGCGCCCCGGCCCCGCCCCCGGAGGGCGGCCCCACCGCCCAATCACCGCGCGCCGCCACCTTGACCGACGGGACGCTCGGCCAATCAGCAGCGGGCGGAGGGGCGGGGCCAGCGCCGCTCCGGGTTCCCGTCGCCGCTCGGTCCGGGCCGCCCCCCCCCTCCCGCCCCCCCCCTCCCGGCCCCCCCCCTCAGCTTCCCCCCCCCCCCCCCGCGGGTTCTTCGCTGCGAAGAAAATGGCGGCGGCGGCGCCGAGCGGCGACGAGGGGCGGCTGTGAGTGAGGAGGGGGCGGCGGGGCCGGGGGGGGCCGCGGCGGCTGTTGGGGAAAGCTGTGAGGGAGCGGAGAGCCGGGGGGGGGGGTGGGGGGGGTCTCGCGCGCGCGCGCACGGGGCGACGCCCCCCCCCTCCTCTCTCCCTCACGCCCCCCCCCCCCCCACCCTCCTTTCCTTCCCCTCACGGGCCGGGCGGGAACCGGGAATGGCGGGCGGGGGGGGGTGTGTGTGTGTGTGAGGGCTGGGGGGGGCTGCGAGCGCCGCGAGTGCGTCACGAGCGGCCGCGGCCCCCCCCGGGGGACGGGAGGAGCCCCCCGGCTCCGGGCAGCCCCCGGTGGGACCCCCCGAGCCCTCCGCGGGACCCTCCGGCACGGGGGGACCTCCCTTCCCCTTCCTCCGCCGGCCCCACAAAATGCGGCCCCCCCCCCCACCCCATCCTCAACGCCGCTACCAAATTTGGGGATCCCCCCCCACCCCTTCCCCAAAATCCTGTCTGTGTCGCCATCCCCTCAGGGTGGGATTTGGGGACCCCCCATCTCTTGCAGCGACCCCCGCCCCCCACAAGGGGACACACCCCCCGGCCCGTCCCGCGCGCGCCCAAAACCCCGAAAAACCGCCCCAAACCCTTCCCGAGTCGCCCCAAAATCCACCCCGAGTTACCCCAAAATCCACCCCAAACCCCCTGCGACTCACCCCGAATTTCCAGAGTTACCCCAACCCTTCCTAAATCACCCCATAACTCCCCGAGTTATCCCGACACCCCCCCGAAGTCACCCCAAAACCCTCCTAAAGTCACCCCAAATCCCATCCCCGAATCACCCCAAAACACCCCGAGTCACCCCAAAACGTTACGCCTGCGCTGCACCCCAAAATACCCAAATTTGCCCCGAACTGTCGCACTCACGTGGTGCCCCAAAATACCCCGGGTTACCCCAAAATATCCGGAATTTCCCCAAAATGCTGCACCCCAAAACTACCCCAAATTATTGCATGCACGTGACGCCCCAAAATGTCCTGAACTACCCCAAATGATGCACCCCAAAATACCCGAAAACACCCCAAACCGCTGCTCACGCTGCGCCCCCAAACCCCCTGATTTATCCCAAAATGCTGTGCCCCAAAATAGCCAAAATTGCCCCAAACTGCTCCTCATTCCGCGTCCCAAAACACCCCGATTTACCCTAAAATCCCCTGAATTGCTCCAAAATTTTCTGCTTGTGCGCCACCCCAAAATATCCTAAATTGCCCAAAATGCTGCTCACGCTGCACACCCCAAATGCTCCATTTACCCAAAAATCCCCCAAATTTCCCCAAATTGCTGCACTCATGCAGCGCCCCCAAACTCCCCGAGTTACCACAAAATACCCTGAATTCCCCCAAAATACAACAGCCCCAAAATACCCAGAATTGCCTCAAAGTTGCTCCAAATGTTCGCCTCACGCTGCTCCCAAAAACACCTCAAATTTCCCCAAAACGGCCGCACTCCCGCAACCCCTCCGGGTCCCCCCAAATCCCCCTAAATTCCCCCAGATCCCACCTGGAATCGCCCTAAAATTGCCCTCATGCCCCGAAATCCCACAAATTATCCCCAAATTTCCCAAATTTTGCCGGAATCATCCAAATTTCCCCTAACACCCCAAAATTTGGCTTCTCACGCCCACCTTTGCTGTGCCCGGGGTTGTGCCCACCCCAAGACCCCCTGAGACCCCCTTGGGATCCTCGACCCTGGGGCGACCAGGCCCCCCCAGACCCCTCTGGGACCTCCCAGGGACCCCCCAGGGCCACCGAGAGACCCCCGGGGTCACCCCAGACCCCTCAAAGCCCCCCTGGGACCCCCAGGGCCACCCCAGACCCAGGACCCCAAGGCCCTCGGGGCCACCTCGGACCCTCAAGAACCTTCTGGGACCCCCAGGGCAACCAAGAGACCCCCCCAGGGCCACCTCAGCCCCCTGACCCTGGGACATGTCGGGGAGTCCCTGGGGGTCACCCCCTGTCCCCAATCCCCCTCATCCCGACATTCCCACGCCCCTTCCCAAATTTTTTGGTGCCGTTTTTGTGACTTTTAGCCCCAGG